CGATCATTTTGTCCATGCTGAAACTATGGGCTAGCTATTCACCAAAGTCCCTGGGCTACATCTTCAGAAGTCAAGGTCGTATATAAGTAGTGACAGCTCTCAAATGAATCCTTTATTGGTGAAATGGGGACAATGTCAATACACATCCTCAAAATTGATCAGGCTGCACAATAATATCAATTCATGGAGGTTACAGCACTAGGAAAACAATTTACATCAGATCCAGAAATTTACTCTCCTTCTCCAGCTGAACATCTTACCAGGTGAAGTAAGAAGCAGTCATTTCTTTTTTATTTTTTGGATGTCTGGTTTTCACTTAAAACATGCCCTTTAAATATCTTTCAAATTTTTGTTTAAAGGGAAGGAATCATGAAGGAATTAAGACAATGTTGGGGATCATCTTATGCTACATACAGTTCATGTCATTTCTGTATTATGTATCTTCAGTTTATTCATTATAGCTAAAATGTATTGAGTGTTTACTGTTAAAACTCTTAAAAACTTTAAAGCATTTTTCCCACTTATATCTTTAAATTATCTTATGACATAAATACTATACTTTTATTTTCTTTATGTTCTTAATCACTACTATGCTTTTATTTTTATTTTGAGACAAAGTCTTGCTTTGACGCCCAGGCTAGAGTACAGTGGCGTGATTTCAGCTCACTGCAACTTCTGCCTCCTGTACTCAAGTGATTCTCCTGCGTCAGCCTCCTGAGTAGCTGGGATTACAGGCGCCCGCCACCACGCCCAGCTAATTTTTGTATTTTTAGTAGAAACAGGGTTTCACCATGTTGGCCAGGCTGGTCTTGAACTCCTGACCTTAAGAGATCCACCCGCCTTGGCCTTCCAAAGTGCTGGGATTACGGGAATGAGCCACTGCACCCAGTCCCCACACTATTTACTTTGTGATTTGTGTGTAGATTTTTAAAGAACCTGCGTCCTTAAAAATTCAAATAGTAGGCTGGGCGCGGTGGCTCATGCCTGTAATCCCAGCACTTTGGGAGGCCGAGGTGGGTGGATCACAAGGTCAGGAGATGGAGACCAT